AGACCGAGCCTGATTCCCACATGGGTACAATGTGAAGCCCATTTCTGTTGTCCCCCGCCGTGCTGTTGCTGGAATATTGCTATAAAGCTGCGTAAAACCATACTCACTCACTCATTCTTTTGAGAGTCAGGAGTAATCTGGAAGCTTCTAGAGCAGCATAGGTTAATCCAGCTAAGTGAACAGTGTGTGAGTGAGTTTAGTTTATGCCGCTTTTAGCAATAATCCATCAATATCATGGCGGGGAACACCAGAAATGGTCTTCACACATTGTACCCATGTGGGAAATCAAACCCGGGCCTTCGGCGTGACAAGCGAAAACTATAACCACAAGGCTACCCCACCGCCTACTTATGTGAAGTGATTTATTGCAATATCAGGCACATATCTCTGGCATTAGTCTGTCTCAGAGTCCCTGAACCACATTTTTTTCCTCCTGCTTAGCCCTCCCTGCAATGCTAAAGCCCAAAATAAGGCAAGTCTAGATTTCTTCAGGTTCTGAATCTCCCATCTCACTGGGGCTCCTTTTCAATTTAAAAGGGTTTATTTGTTACTATCAAAATTATATATTCAGATACTAATGTATATTCAGCCTAGTCCGATCTTAGAAACTTGACCACAATTATTGCTGTTTGAATGTTAATATCACTGACTTAATGGCCATTACCACTGCCATTTTGTTTCAAGCTGCCTTTGTCATTGTGCTGCCATTGAAGTTTGGACTGCCACTCTAATGTGTACTATAATTTGTATTGATTTGTAAACCAAGTTAATTTTAGAATACAATTGGTAATTGTGTAAGATTTCTTTGTTTGTTGGTTTCACACTGAATATGTATAGATTTCTGGGTTTAGTTATTGTTTGAACAGGAAATCCAGACAGCACATCCTAGACTCATTTGATGGTTGCCCTGTAGCTTATTAACTTATAACCTGATGTTGTCTCCTGGATGTAGGCAATGATGAAAGTAAAATGTTTTATTCATGAAAATATGCAATGTCTGTTGTAGTTTCATCTCCGTGTCAGTAACCATTTCAATGGCTTCAACACACCAAGGATTTCTGGCTGTATTTCATTCCTACCTTTGAGATTGACGTGTTATGTGTTGAAAGTCCCTGTGTACTCGTGAGGATCTGGGTTAGAATTGATCTTCAGCAACCTATGCTTGTCGTAAGAGGCAACTAACAGGATCAGGTGGTCAGGCTCGCTGACATCGTTAACACATGTCATTGTATCCCAGTTGCGTAGATCAATGCTCATGCTGTTGATAACTGGACTGGTCCAGACTTGATAATTTACAGACTTCCGCCATATAGCTACAATATTGCTGAGTGTGGTGTAAAACTAAACTAAACTCACTCACTCACTTCAGGAATTGTAATAAAGGGCAGGTAACTCTAACCAGCATTCCCTAAAACAAAATATAAAGTGCCTATGGAGCACAATGCCCTTCATGTTGTTTGTATGGGAATATAGCTGATGGGGTTGTTGTCAGCACACCTTATACATCTGTGTACTGGGGTACATTTGAATGAACAATAACTACCAACAGTCTCAAGACTACCGACCCGTGAAGATCCGGGGTAGAATTGGTCTTCAGCAACCCATGCTTGCCACAAAAGGCGACTATGCTTGTCATAAGAGGTGACTAACGGGATCAGGTGGTCAGGCTCGCTGACTTGGTTGACACATGTCATCGGTTCCCAATTCGCAGATCGATGCTCATGCTGTTGATCACTGGATTGTCTGGTCCAGACTCGATTATTTACAGACCGCCGACCATATAGCTGGAATATTGCTGAGTGCGGCGTAAAACTAAACTCACTCACTCACTCACTCAAGACTACCCCTGTGTACATGAATGTACCTTGCAATAACATTTTGTGAAACACTGACATCCTCATCGGTTCCTTTCATGACATCATTGAAGATTTGTGTGTATGCAGACAGTCCATAGTCAATAATAGATTAAAACTGATTTTTTTTATCTACGTGCAGATGGCATTGATCAATATGACCCACATTTAAGGCTGATAGAGATCACATGTACCCTTGTGTGAGAGTGGGTACATTTAAGTCTTAAGGAGTAGTTTTGGACTCTAGGAGTACTTTTTCATTTGACCCATGAAGGTCTGGGTTAGAATTGATCTTCAGCAACCCATGCTTGTCGTAAGAGGTGACTGAGGGATCGGGTGGTCAGGCTCGCTGACTTGGTTGACACATGTCATCGGTTCCCAATTGCGCAGATCGATGCTCATGCTGTTGATCACTGGATTGTCTGGTCCAGACTCGATTATTTACAGACCACCACCATATAGCTGGAATATTGCTGAGTATGGCATAAAACTGAACTTACTGAAGATCCAGGGTAGAATTGGTCTTCAGCAACCCATGCTTGCCACAAAAAGGCAACTATGCTTGTCATAAGAGGTGACTAACGGGATCGGGTGGTCAGGCTCGCTGACTTGGTTGACACATGTCATCGGTTCCCAATTCGCAGATCGATGCTCATGCTGTTGATCACTGGATTGTCTGGTCCAGACTCGATTATTTACAGACCGCCACCATATAGCTGGAATATTGCTGAGTGCGGCGTAAAACTAAACTCACTCACTCACTCACTCAAGACTACCCCTGTGTACATGAATGTACCTTGCAATAACATTTTGTGAAACACTGACATCCTCATCGGTTCCTTTCATGACATCATTGAAGATTTGTGTGTATGCAGACAGTTCATAGTCAATAATAGATTAAAACTGAATTTTTTTTATGTACATGCAGATGACATTGAGCCAATATGACCCCCATTTAAGGCTGATAGAGATCACATGTACCTTGTGTGAGAGTGGGTACATTTAAGTCTTAAGGAGTAGTTTTGGAACTCTGGGAGTACTTTTTCATTTGACCCATGAAGGTCCGGGTTAGAATTGATCTTCAGTAACCCATGCTTGTCGTAAGAGGCGACTGAGGGATCGGGTGGTCAGGCTCGCTGACTTGGTTGACACATGTCATCGGTTCCCAATTGTGCAGATCGATGCTCATGCTGTTGATCACTGGATTGTCTGATCCAGACTCGATTATTTACAGACCGCCACCATATAGCTGGAATATTGCTGAGTGCGACGTAAAACCAAACTCACTCACTGTTTCATTTACCCAGAAGTGTACATGGTAGTATAAGGTGTGATGACTATGACCCATTCAGCCACATTTAAGGCCCTTGGGGCTTGTTTTGTACACTTTAGACATCAATTTAGAGAACTTTATCACTCTTTCCAGAAAGGACATCCTTCTGCAGGACTTAACTATGTCTTTCCTGCAAATGTATAGGTCATGCAAATGGGGTCTCAGAATAAATAAATAAATAAGTAAGTCAATCAATTAATCAATTAATCAATCAATATTGTTTTTGCCGAAATCGAAAGGCCAAAACCATAATATATTTGTGTTTTTGGCATAATACTAAGCTTGCTGTATGGTAGGGTAAACTTAAGTGTGTTTTGGGCCTATTTTCTAGGCATGCTTTATGGTAAGGTAAACTTCAAGGAAATTAGTGGTTGTACCAGACCTTTGCTCTGCTAATACCTCAGTCATGTCTCCATCAGCACATGAACTGTTGCTTACATTACTGCAGCTTAGTCTGTGGATTGATAGCCTGAGGTCAAGAGGTCAAACATGAAACTACTTTATGCCCGATACACTTTGATTTTGAGATGATTCAGTAAGTACGCCAGCAGCTCTCAAGGGCCACATGCTCATAAATGAAGCTTGGTGTGAGTTTTCCTTTCATATCTACCATAAAGCTTTGAGTATGGGAGTTACGGCAGTCATAGCTGTAAACTTGAATTTGTGAACAAAGCCCTGGCTAAATGTTGTCATTATTCCATGACATCGTCTTTGTGCATTATTTACATGTTTACCTCCCATATATTTGCATCAAGCATTGGCTATTTAATGCTATAGTGATATATTTGCAATATTAATTGCAATTTTAGGCTGGTTGGGTGGCCGAGTGGTTAAAGTGTTCACTCTTCACGCCAAAGACCCAGGTTCTATTCCCATGTGTACAATGTGTGAAGCCCATTTCTGGTATCCCCGTCTTTGTCTCACAGTCTTTGATCTGTATCATTTCATCGTCCATCGAGCCCTTATCATAATTTCATACCTCTAAATGAAGCCAGTCTAGGTTACAGAATGATACCTGTAACTCACATCTTCCTGGGCTTCGTTTCAATTTAAATGTCTTCTCTCAGAAGTGTTGGTTTTAGAGACTAAATGTAAGTCTAGCATGGATCTAATGACATACCTGTAAATGTTCACCCCAAGTATGACCCGACAAACCTCAACAGTCTGTTTCACCTGGCTTCAGTGCCGACTTGCTGGAACCAAACTTCTTCCCCAAAACTGGCTAAAGATCTCCAGGACATCCCATATATTCAACCCCCCATCATTTGTGTCATTCCAGGATGGGGCCAGGGGTGTCCCAGTGGTCAAAGATGCCACAATTTGCTGAGAGTTGTATTCCTTGGGAATACCAGAAACTTCATTTCATGGGTTCAAATCCAAGCATGTCCTAATCATGTTTCTAGGTTTGTCCACACCATACATGTATGTGCGAAGTTCGCGAACACCTGGTATCATCACTATTGCATAGTGATTCATAAACACATGCTGTCATCATATCGCATGGTGACAATCACTGGATTGTTTGGTTTAGACCTGTGTTGTTTACAAACAACATCATACAGCTGTAATACTGCTGAAACAAATACCTGCTCATGATATAGTCACAATTGTACAATAGACTCTGCTTTTGACAGAGATTTCTTATGAATGTGGAAAGGGAATGTCGCTTTAATTATAGCGCACTGTCCAAGACCTGTGTCACATTGAATTTTTCCCACAGCAAGCCTTCTGAAATAATTTAAATATAATTGAAAAACTGTGCAAAGCAGCATTAAATTATGCTCAACCTTCATTGCTAGTCTTGTGTGTTCCAGGTATTACAGAGGTCTGTAGACAAGGAGTTGAGGATGTTCTCTGACCTCAAGGAACGAACCAACGCTGTAGCTCACATAATGGTGCTTGCTTTATCTAGTCAGCCAGTGGACCACGAAGAGAATGGTCATCGAAAACAAACATCATCTGATGTCGGTAAGTCAGCGCTGATGGAGACTTCAGTTTGTTTTTCTTTTTGCTGTAATCATTGTATAGATATCGACCCTGTCTGGATCCAGAGACACTTTCAGTGACTCCATAGTGATGTCAGAGTTGAAGTATCTGATGCTGGCCAGATTGTTTGAAACATTGGAATAACAATATATTCTCATGTGAATGTTTGTTTGTTTTCGGTTTTCTTGTTTATGTGTTTCTTTATTTTGGGTTTTTGTGTTGTTGGTTTTTTTTGTTTTTTTTGTTAAATCCCCCAATTTTCGAGCAAAATGATGGCAGTCTCTTAGAAATTGATTTGTATTAGACAATCCAGTGATTGACTTCATGAGCATTGATCTATTCATTGATTCCTTAGCTAACATTTAGAGTGACTGCTTGCCATCATATGCTTACTATACTAAAGGGGTTATCAGGAGTGGAAATAACCCATTGCCCAACGTCCGAGTCCAGTGTTTTTTCTGTCGGGCAAGCAAATTTGTATATCACACTGTACCGGTGCCCAGTTGACTTTCCAATGTTAATTATGGTGTGTATTTAAGAAAAGCAACAAGAAAACGTCCGGTATATTGGACAAATTATCAGGGCAAGTGATTTTACATGTGCTACTGTTCGAGAGTACACTAGCAATTTTATAGTTATTTCCTATAGGGGTTATGCAAGTGATAGAAATATGGAAACATGGCAGTTGTGTTTGTGGTGATGGCAAGTTAAATTATTGATAGTTGACATCAATACCTGGCTAGCATATGAATAATTTCTACAGATTTGCAGATATGAAAGGCATGCAGAGACTCTAATAAATACACTTTAACCTTCTAGCACCGAACTGGCAGCTTGGGTTATCAGGGGTAATAATGTGTTAGCGCTTTTAACAGTATTTGGTTATTGTGTCTATTTAAACTGATTGTATTTTATTAACCATGGACATACAACACTTATGGCATGCATAGCAGTTCAGTGATATGTTACGTCCCTCACAGTTTTCCAATAATTCTGCTTATTCGGGGCCCATAGTTGACAGCTTAACCCAAACATTCCACTTGAAGATCCAGGTTAGAACCGATCTTCAGCAACCCATACTTGTTGTAATTCAACTATAGTCTGTTTGCAGTGAAAACGTACCGATGAATTTAAATTTAAACAAACAAGTAAATCGAATAAATTGAAGTTAAGATTGAGATTCCTCATATTTTTACCTTGCCAACTGAATATTTAAATCTCAGCATTTTATTCAACTTAGGATAAGAGTTGTTTAACAAACGATCATAGTTTCAAATCGCTATTATTGGTTTGTATTACAAGGGTGTATGCACATTAAATGAAACACCGAGAACAAGTAGAGTTGGTCTAAGTTAACGCTCATCACGAACCGCACGTGCATTTGTTTCACTGTTCCAACTACTGCGCTTACCCCCTTGTAATACAAACCAATAATAGCGATTTGAATGTATGATCGTTTGTTAAACTACTTTTATCTTAAGATGAGAAAAATTCTGAGATTTAAATGTTCAATTGGCAAGGTCAAATTATGAGGATTCACAATCTTAATTCCACTCAATTTGATGTACTTTTTTGTTTAAAGGGAAATTCATCGGCACGTTTTCACTGCAAATAGACTATAAGGGGATCGTGTCAATCATAGGATTCTCTGGTCCTGTCTCAGATTATTTACAAATAGCCATCATATAGGTTGAGTATTGCTGAGTGAGGCATTAACAACAAAAGTTTGGATGAGTTAAGCCGACAACTTGTATCTGTCGTGTTAGTGTTGTATTACTAGTATTTTCTTTGGTAAGAAACATTATTAAATGTTTTAAATTAGTGTGTTGGAGCCAGCTGTTTTGGTTTGTTTTTTATATGAATAATTTGGTGGCTCAAATTTATAAATTATGTAAGTGGGTGTTTTTCCAGCTATGTTCCTCACTGCTCAGTTAATGGAACTTTGAATACACAGTGTAAATGTCAACTGAAAACCAGCAATTTACAGGAATGAGACATTCATCATGTATTCATTCACAAATGTTTGGTACGTCATGCTCATATACAACTTTTTGTTGGGGATTCTACATGTCTGTTGAGTAGTGGTGTTCCAATTAATTGAAATAGTCAAAGATTGGTCGAAGTGACCAAACGACCAAGCAGTTGATCACATTTTCTCGTAATCGAACACAAACGATTTTGAAACTACTGTTTAAGTCTTTGAAACACTCAACGATGGAATATATCTTCGAAGTTGTCAGGGCCTGAAAGCGTGTGTAATTCTTAGAAAACTCACTTCACTAACTGAAAAGTCATGACGGAATATTTCTTGAATATTCCAAGAAGTTCTGACCACAACCGCTTGAGGGAGAGCAATCTCTACGTCTTTCGAATGTAATTCACTGGGGTTTTTGAAAAGCTGAAATATGATCTCATTAGCATGGAGATATTGATCTTGATCAGGTGATTGTCCTCACCTGTCAGATATGTTGTGCCTTGTTATGCAGGATTGCTGCTAATTTGGGGCCATTTTCACATGCATGGACACTAAATCACAAACGATGGAATCGAGGAAGGCACATTTCAGCTGACATTTTGTCTGGTGGTCCTTGAGTCTATTTAGCTAGTCAAGTGAAATGAGTGTTCCTCTCTTGTCAGGTGGCATTGACGTAACCTTTAATATGTCAGGGGTTGAAAAATGTTGTAAGTGTTGGTGAACGAGTAGAATACGTCACATTTCATATTTCATCAAAGTGCAGTACAAGTCCTTACAGACTTATGTTTAAGGAAGATGTCTTGGGAGGAGAAAAATCCTGAAGAATCTCTCATCAGTGTGAATTTGCTGATCCGTTCAGGGCTCCAGATAATTTTTCAGCATCAGGAGTACGTACTCCTTATTTGTTCAATATAGGAGTACCTGAAAACCTTAAGAGTACATTTAGAGTACTGAATGGAATTTAATGGAGTACCAGTAATCTGGTGTTTCGTTTCATATATGCGCCACAACATTGCTACTCTTGTGTGAACAGGTAAAAACCCAATAAAACAATACTTTTTTCAGATAAATACGTCTGTAAATGATTCTAAGACTGTGACATCTGCTGTGGTGCGTATCTGCTACGTTTTCTAAATTATTTCCTGCCGTATCGTGCATATGTTTTAGCCGTACATACGCCGATACGGCCCTTATCTGGAGCCCTGCCATTTAAGCCAGTATTGTATTCATTTGCTGGTGTCAGGTACCGTTGGGTTTTGTTGTTTGCATCAATGTTATTTTGGCAGTTAGATAGACCTACTTTCCAAGAAATAAAACACAAGTCATGTTGAACTCATCAAGGAAAAGTAAACGTGTAATGTGACAGCGATTTGGATTCAATGCATGTAGATCCGTGAATTCAATCCTGTACCAGTCATTGTCATCCAAGATACTCACATAACCAATAAGCTGAGAGAGAATATTGGATTTCAGATCATCCAGGTGGACCTTCTCCATATTCAGAATTTATACCATGCCTTGGTTTATGCCGAGTGCGATAGATTGTAAGATTCAGGGGCTAATCAGATTCAGATACTTTGTAAGAAGGCTTTAAAAGATCCTGGAATCCACCAGTGCAAGTTGGAAGTATATTTGTGCCAATGGTGGAGTTGAATTCGCTCACCTATTTGCAAATACCTGGCTTCATTACAAGTTTATGTTGGTTCATAAACACAAGCCGTTGATACAGTCATTCACGTACAAGACTCTGATGTTAAACATTTCTTGTGAATATGAATATGGCTTTTGTCACTTTTATTATCCTTGTGTGCTTTTGTGTTGCTTACAGTGAGCATGACCAGTTAGTCAGGTACAGCTTGTATACTTGTTATGGTATAAAATTAACTATTCATTAAGTCTCAGCTTGCAGTATTGTCAGTTGTCAGAAGGTTTTGGCAGTGGTACTTAAAGGGGCTCTCTTGCAGAGTAACCTCAGTGAAAAACACAAGTATCACAATTGCTCTGTGGAATGGCAAAATGTTTCCTCATGAACTGCGTAAAGCTGTCAGACAGATGTCTGCATACTTAGTTAGATCAGGCGGAGCTGTTTGAAGTGCAGTGACATTATTTAGTAATGGAATACATGCAGTTGCAGACCAGGTAGCAGGATGTGCATTTCATGGAGCAGACAAAGAGTGAGCAACACTTTCAGTTCTTCTGAAGTAGACCGCCTCCGTGGTGTAGTGGTTAGAGCGTCCGCCCGGAGAGCGGAAGGTCGCGGGTTCGATCCCCGACCGCGTCATACCAAAAGACGTTAAAATATGGTACTTGTTGGTCCCTGCCTGGCGTTCGGCATTAATGGGTACAACAAGGACTGGTCGGCTCGGAGTCAGTATAATGTGTCTGAGTGGGGTATTCATGCTTCACTGCGGCATGGTATCTCAGTGGGCTAGCACTATAAAACCAGCTTCAGTCTGGGCTAGTACAAGCAGCCGCACATACACATACACACGCATGCATGTCGTCATATGAGCAAAATATTCTCAAGCACGACGTAAAACCCAATTTCACCTCACCTCTTCTGAAGTACTGACTTGAAATTCCTAACCTCTAAGCCGCTTCTGTCATGCAACTTGTGCATGATGAAAAGAAACTGAGAACACTTTGGCACCAACTAAGGTTTTCAGTACAGTTTGAAACGTGACTGCCTCAGTCAGCAAAACAACGTAGTTAACAGTTGGCTGCTCTTTGAATCAAAAAAAGGACTCAGTACAGAGTATTTGTTACAATGTAAACACATTATCTGTTTGCCTGTGTCTATCCACAGAGGTGTAGATGGTGTTTTGAGATTTTTCTCCAATTATAAACATGCTTGTGGTGAATGTAATTCACAGTGGCAATTGGTGCCTACTGGAAGTCATTTTCTGAAATTTGTTTTGACAAACTTTACGAACTTTGTTCTGTTATGAAAATTTCATGGAGTACGCCAAGGATTTATTTATTTTTGGCCTGGAGTTTGGGCAACATTAGATTAGTTTTGTTGAAGGTTTATCAGGGTTTTTAGGAATCCTTTTGGTGAAGGAAGTTGTGTTTAGATATCAACAGTACTGATAACCCTGGGGTCCTATTTATCAGGGAATCTGTCTGTTCCAAGGATTACTGTGCAGAAATGGCATATGCCATTCCTTAAAGCATTCCTTACCCAATGAATGCAGCAGGACTTCCCCTGCAGTAACAGACAGAAGATAGTTGTTGCACTAAGACCATTTCATTGAATCTGGGGGGGCGGTGGGGTAGCCTAGTGGTTAAAGCGTTGGCTCGTCACGCCGAAGACCCGGGTTCGAATCCCCACATGGGTACAATGTGTGAAGCCCATTTCTGGTGTCCCCTGCCGTGATGTTGCTGGAATATTGCTAAAAGCGGCGTAAAACTAAACTCAGTCAGTCATTGAATCTGGGCCAGTGAACAACAGATCTGCCGTACCTTACTCTACCTTAAGGTTGTGAGGATCAGGTCACTAAGGTTTGAACCACCTTGGCATTAAAACCCAATCTATTTACCTTTCAACCATGTGGAGCTTAGGGCTTATGGTGCTTCAGATTGCCAGGGGGTCGGAAAAAAACAAGAGTCTGTCCCTACTTTGAGATATTGATGTTCTCAGAAAACAACCCATTTGATATTGAATTTTGGGAGGAGGGCCTGTGATTTACAAAATATATTAAATAGATTTTTGCTTCAGATTTTACCATAAAATCATCTGTTTCCCTTGAGAGGAAAATATGTGCTTGAATGATATTGGTGAGTCTACTATGCATGTACAGTGTGGCTGCCATATTGGAGATACTTTCCTGTCAGGAAACCCTAGCCCCCTATCCTTCCTGTAGGGTGTATTGTTTCCCCTTCTACAGGTGATTCCACTCTGGAACTGATCTTGCAGCGATCGGAAGTGTTGTCTCTCGGCCTTGTTGATTACATTTAGGATGAATTTGTTCATTACAGGTGGGATGAAGGCACTTGTTGATAACATTTAGGATGAAGGCACTAGTTGATTACAGGTGGGATGAAGGCACTTGTTGATAACATTTAGGATGAAAGCACTAGTTGATTACAGGTGGGATGAAGGCACTTGTTGATAACATTTAGGATGAAAGCACTAGTTGATTACAGGTGGGATGAAGGACAGTTTGCCCAGGATGAAGCACTAGTTGCAGGTGGGATGAAGGTACTTGTTGATAAGGAATAGGATGAATGCACTAGTTGATTTAATTGATTTCTAGTTGATTACTGTTGAACTTGTTGCTTACAGTTTCAGGAGAGAAAATTGTGTGTTGCTTGTCTAAGAAAGTGTGTGTATTAAACCACCACTACATATACATACCTATAAGATGTAAAGTGTTTGATCTAAGGAGTCGATAGGTGCGAGTACATAGTCACTTAGTCACATAGTTGCCAGGTAGATGTTTCAAGGCTTTAGATCGATGTGTAAAATTGCCAGGTGGATCAAGGTGCCAAGTAGATGTATTGAGGTGTCAGGTAGATGTATTTAGATGCCAAGTAGATGTATTGAGGTGCCAGGTAGATGTATTGAGTTGACAGGTAGATATATTGAGGTGTCAGGTAGATGTATTTAGATGCCAAGTAGATGTATTGAGGTGCCAGGTAGATGTCAGGTAGATGTAGGTAGAGTTGACAAGTAGGTGTCAAGTAGATGTATTGACTTGCCAGGTAGATGTTTTGAGGTGCCAGGTAGATGTATTGAGTTGACAAGTAGATGGTAGATGTTTTGAGTTGCCAAGTAGATGTATTGAGGTGCCAGGTAGATGTTTTGAGTTGACAGGTAGATGTATTGAGGTGCCAGGTAGATGTTTTGAGTTGACAGGTAGATGTATTGAGGTGCCAGGTAGATGTTTTGAGTTGACAGGTAGATGTATCGAGGTGCCAGGTAGATGTTTGGCGTAGCCAGGTAGATGTAGTTGATCAACAGGTAGATGTGATAGCCCCTGTTAGATGCAGCGTGTCATGCAGAGGAGTACAATGCTGGGCAGATGTGTTATGTAGGGTTGGGTATTGAGAATATTATTTGACTTGAATATTGGAATAACACAGGAAATGTGTTGTAGCAGCTGGAAAATGTATGGAACCATTCAGAAGATGTATAGAACCAGCTGGAAAATGCATGGAACCATACCAAAGATGTAAGGAAGAAACTAGAAAATGCATGGAACCATTCCAAAGATGTAAGGAAGAAACTGGTAAATGTATGGAACCATTCAGGATATTTAAAGAAGCACCTGGCATAATATATGGCACCATTCAGATGATGTATGGAAGCCCCTGCAAATGTATGGTTCCATTCAGGAGATGTAAGGAAGCAGCTGGAAAATGGATAATTCTGTAGATTTTCCCACCATGACATATACCAAGGGCAGTGTCTGCCTGCCTCACTTGATTCAGTTATGCTCAAGTTGAATTGAATTATGGGGAATCGCTAAATTAGGTTTGTCTGCAAACCTTTAATTCAATCTGAATATTGCTTTCACTGCAGTCTTGGTATTGGGAAAGTTTTAATTGTTCAGAAGATAAGGTTTTCCCTGAAGTCTTGTAAAAAAAGATAAATCTTTCGTTGTAATCCTTCCCAACAGACCGACTGCCACATAGACAAGGACGGACTGTAAGTTTGGTGGTGAATTAGTGACAATCAATATAGTTAGATGTGGTAAACCCTTCTCCAGCCTACCTTACATACTCATTGGGCACTGCTGTGTTAAGAAATGTGAATGTTGGTGGGTCCCTCCCTCTCCCTCTCCCTCACTCTCACTCTCCTTCCTTCCTTCCCTTTTTCTCTCACTCACTCTCTCCCTTTCCTCCTATCTTTCCTTGATTTCTCTTCCACTCTCTCCTTCCTTCTCACCCCCCTTTCTCTTCTTTCTCTTCCACTTCCCCTCTCCCTTTCTCCATGTTTCTTCTTGATTTCTCTTTCACTCCCTTTCTCCTTTTCTTTTCGTTTGATTTCTCTTCCGCTCCCTCTCTCACTGTCTCTTCTTGATTCTTTTCCAGTCCTTCTCTTCCCCTCTCTCTCCTTCCTTCTTTCTCTTCTACTCCCTGTCTCCCTTTCTCCCTGTCTCTTCCTCTTGATTTTTGACCGCCTCCGTGGTGTAGTGGTTAGAGCGTCTGCCCGGAGAGCGGAAGGTCGCGGGTTCGATCCCCGACCTCGTCATACCAAAAGATGTTAAAATATGGTACTTGTTGGTCCCTGCCTGGCGCACGGCATTAATGGGTACAACAAGGACTGGTCGGTTTGGAGTCAGTATAATGTGTCTGAGTGGGGTATTCCTGCTTCACTGCGGCATGGTATCTCAGTGAGCTAGCACTATAAAACCAGCTTAAGTCTGGGCTAGTACAAGCAGCCGCACATACACATACATACACCTGCTCGTCGTCATATGAGCGAAATATTCTCAAGCACGACTTTAAACCCAATTTCAGCTCACCTCACCTCTTGATTTCTCTTCCACTCCCTCTTTCCTTCTCCCTCCTTTCTTTTTCACTCTCTCCTACTCCTTCTTTCTCCTTCTTCAATCTATCTTATTTGCCTTCTTCCCTCTCCTGCCCATGATTATTACTGAGGGCAATTGTATAACACTGGGGACCACTTGTTCGATATGTGTGTGAAATGATTCATAATCATACAAACATCCAAAACATAAAATCAACACCCACACCTCTACCTCAGCTACATTGTCAACAAATTCCTATATTTTGGCTGTCATCACACTATAAAAATCTTCAAGTTTTCCAACATATGTCCTTCTTTCTGTCAACTATCCATAATTAGTTGTTCCACTGATAGTATCTTCCTTCTTAAGCGCCTTGTGCATGCAGTGAAACCAAACCTGCCAGTCAGTCCACACATCTATAATAATCTCCTGTTACAATCTTCCATATCAAGATATTAGTTTGGTGTTATTTTAGAATTTGTTGACACTGCATAATATTCCAAGAACGTACAGAGTTCCAGTGGAAATCTGCGGAGCTAGCATTAAGTGTGTCTGCCATCATGCGAAAAGTGACAGTGGAAATATTTTTGATCTTGTGGAAAATAAACTGAAGGCTGAATCTGTTTTGAAACATTTGATGAGTGCCATATGTTGCCTCTTTAACTTTTTTACTTTGATATTGTGTTTTGATAGAGACTAAAAGTTTTGTAGGAAAAGAAATTTAGTTCAGTTAACCTTTGCTTTTCAGAACGTGAAGTCTAAAGTACAAGGGTAATTTGAATCTGGAGATGAGATGTGTTGTTCATGCCCCAATTCCTGGCTGTGTAAAACATCACTTTTTTATGAATCGATTCTCATAAAGATTGGTTTTTCAGGTTTAATGAGACAAGGATGATAAAAGAGAAAAGTTCCTGTTCATCTGTTGCTTGATATTCATTTTTTGTTTCTAAGCTTCCAAAACAATTTTCTAATTTCAGTCAACACGTTATTGAATCTTGCCACATTTTTGACAGACCTTGGTGTTTGGGATATTTTAGTGCTAAACATGAGTCAAAGTAACTGTAGTCTTTGTAGTTGATTTTGTCAGTGAAATGCAGGGTAGTTAATTATGATGAGCTGTAATTGGGCTGAAGTAGCTATGTCATCATATTGTGGCAATTTGGTTACGTTGAGAGTCTTTACATTAAATGAAAACTGTGAATCGTGGTTGAATCAAGCTTGTTTTCTTGTGTTACACCTTCAGGTATTTAGCTTTCAGTGTTTACCATTTCAACAGCAGCCAAGAGATTCTAAAGTTGAGGTGAATTGGGTTTAATGTCACACACAAGGTCATGCAATTCAGACACAATATGCTGTCTCCGAGCTAACCAGTCCTTGTGTTATCCAAGCATCAGACAGAGTTGGTGTGACACCAAGCTAACCAGTCCTTGTGTTATCCAAGCATCAGACAGAGTTGGTGTGACACCAAGCTAACCAGTCCTTGTGTTATCCAAGCATCAGACAGAGTTGGTGTGACACCAAGCTAACCAGTCCTTGTGTTATCCAAGCATCAGACAGAGTTGGTGTGACACTGAGCTAACCAGTCCTTGTGTTATCCAAGCATCAGACAGAGTTGGTGTGACACCGAGCTAACCAGTCCTTGTGTTATCCAAGCATCAGACAGAGTTGGTGTGACACTGAGCTAACCAGTCCTTGTGTTATCCAAGCATCAGACAGAGTTGGTGTGACACTGAGCTAACCAGTCCATGTGTTATCCAAGCATCAGACAGAGTTGGTGTGACACTGAGCTAACCAGTCCATGTGTTCTCCAAGCATTAGACAGAGTTGGTGTGACACTGAGCTAACCAGTCCTTGTATTATCGAAGCATCAGACAGAGTTGGTGTGACACTGAGCTAACCAGTCCTTGTGTTATCCAAGCATCAGAAAGAGTTGGTGTGACACCGAGCTAACCAGTCCTTGTGTTATCCAAGCATCAGACAGAGTTGGTGTGACACTGAGCTAACCAGTCCTTGTGTTATCCAAGCATCAGACAGAGTTGGTGTGACACCGAGCTAACCAGTCCTTGTGTTATCCAAGCATCAGACAGAGTTGGTGTGACACTGAGCTAACCAGTCCTTGTGTTATCCAAGCATCAGACAGAGTTGGTGTGACACTGAGCTAACCAGTCCTTGTGTTATCCAAGCATCAGACAGAGTTGGTGTGACACTGAGCTAACCAGTCCTTGTGTTATCCAAGCATCAGACAGAGTTGGTGTGACACTGAGCTAACCAGTCCTTGTGTTATCCAAGCATCAGACAGAGTTGGTGTGACACCGTCAGGGATTGACCCACAGACTTTACGCTATCTTGGCAGATGCTTTATCTACAAGGCATTTATATATATAAAATAAGAAAGTACTTTCAGGTATATGGATATATGTCAGTAGTGTATATTCCTCTGCAATGGAAAATATGGCAATAACACCTGTGTATATGAGTATTATATGAGACATAGAGAGGAGGGGGGGTGATAATGACATTCAAATGTACTTCATGTGTGTTGAATGTTTTGGAATAAGTTTCTGAAGTACCAAGGATTAGGCTGAATGCAGTTATCAGCTTTTTATTCATATGAATCCAGGTACCCTGAAAAGTGTCTGAAGCCCATAGATGACACACTGTGATGATCTAGTTAGTTTGTGGGAAGAGCTTGCTTGTGGACTCGGGTTATCAAAAACGTTTTAACACTGTTGTTTCAGTGATAATGTCAATGTTTGGTGATTAAGGCTCAGGTTTTTAGGAAAATGTGTCTCCCAACATTTCCTTTGTGCACTTGTTTTCAACAGAGAATACAGGAAATATGTGGGGGTTTTAGCTGTATGCTGATTCAAGACAACAAATTACTCTTGATTTCATAAGATAAGATGAGATAATATTTGAGGCATAAGGTTCATTAATGAACAGAGGCTTTGACAACACATCTACAGTTTCCATTTACACACATGCATCAAATATGAGTAAATGAAGGTATTATGATGCTTTATGATCAATCAAAGGCACTTTGCCATAACAGCCTTGATTACCATCTAAAACAAAGGAAGTTGCAAAACAAACAAATCTTAATGTGTAATAGCAAATCTGTTCCCAGCAAGATGAGGAGTGTCAGGGAGGAGTGCTGCACTCTACAAGGTCAAGTCAGAGGTAGTGACTGACAGTAGCTAGAGGCGAGGGAATGGTGAGGTTAATGATCCCCCAGTTGTGTCAAGAGATGGAAGCGTAAACAAACATATCAGGTCTCGAGAGGGAAATAAGATAATTAACTGTTAAGGGACTGCTTGTCCACATATGATGCATCCTCTGGCACTATCCGAGTCACATTGCTATACTTTGTAAATCAACCACATGGGTCCTTTGAGGCAAGGGAGTGATTTCAGACTTCCAGTATCTTGTACCAGTATCTTGTACCAGTATCAACACCCAGGTCCACATGTCTAAACAGCATTAGAAATAAGCCTCTCTTGTTAACCCAGCATGAAAAACTTGTTTGAGGGCTTCTACATCTAACATCCCAACCAGCTTATTCAGTGTTTCGAATGAGGATATTCATCCTTCTCAGTGACGAAAATTTCAGAACTGGTTTTGTTTTGTCATCCAGGGCAAATATTCTGGCCACATAAAATTGATTACTGACTGAATTTAGGAAATTGAAAGGTGAGGAATTTCCAACTGCATTATTGTCATTGGATGTCATTAACATAAAACATGAAAATCTTGTTGGACTGTGCTTATTGTAGTGAGTGAGTTTTGTTTTATGCCGTACTCAGCAATATTCCAGCTATATAGCGACAGTCTGTAAATAATCGTGTCTGGACCAGACAATCCAGTGATCAGCATGAGCATCGATTTGCGCAATTGGGAACTGATGACATGTGTCAACCAAGC